TTATCAAGAGGTCATAAGCAAGCCGATCCACTTTGATGAAGCATTTAAACCATTTAATGTTGGTGCAACAAGGTTTCCAGCAATTAACAAGGTAATGCATGTTGCATATATTAATTTTCTAATTACTGAAAGGTGTATCTTCTATTACAACCAATGCTTTGCCTGTCATTTTTCGAATCAATACATCTATGACTAACAAAGTAATGATTTTTGTTTCAGGATCATGGTGGACATCCTGGGTAAGACAACTTTTCAATAAAATATTTGTCGTCTTCAGCTGATGTATTAATGGTAAAGTTATATGGGTCTATAACTTGCCTCACACTCCAATTGAAGCTTTGAATCCAACTAAGGAAAATAAACAACCTGCCTTCACTTTCCAGCTGTTATTATATTAACTAGAAAAATTATAAATAATTATTTTGTTGCTTTGTACTTCAGGAGGCTAGGTTTACTCTTTTGTTATAAAATGTAAAATTTACGTAAAGTAAAGGACATTTTATTTGGTTTTCCTTTTAATACTATATCATCATCGTTATTATCAGTGATGACTTTTTGAAGTTAATTGTATCATTTGCCATACCTATTTTCATATTGTTTCTTTTTGTTAGTAACCTAAAAATACTTACTTGCCCATAGGTCAAGAGCTAATGGTCTATTAAAGGATATAGATGTTATAGGTCCAATTTCATTCCAGGGTAAAATTTTCAACCTTGGTTGATTCTTACTTCTCTTTCTAATCTTAAGGAGAAAACAGAGAATCAGGTTGAATCAAAATTAATCTGAAATCTAATTTGTTCTGTTCCATAGAAGTGAATCAGGGGTGCAAAAATGGTGCAAAGGTTTTGTTTTCCTGTAATAATTTCAGGCACCTATTGTTATTAAGAGCTGATATTAAGGCTTCTTTAATTCTCATGTTATTGCAAAAAAGCAACAACAACCAAACAAACAAATGTACAAATTCACCACAGTTATCTGTTATCAATGGTGTAGCTGACTCTTATCTAGGTCGCAGAAAATGGTACCACCCAATGTTCAACATTTTACGATGAAACCACTTGCCTATGGCTAAGCTTAATTGGTTAGTGTCTTCTGTACCAAATCATGAGAAAATAAAGCAGCTGCAAAGTCTTAACTTTTGAGAGTGGACATTTGGATCATTTAGTCAATGATTCCGTTGTTTAATTTTGACTTTAGACCTGGTGCTTATGAGTTTGATGCTAAAAGAGACAGGAAAGTGAAGTTCCATGGCTCATTTGGTGGGCCACAGACACTGATAACGTCAGTTGTGATCAAGTGTAATGAATTTGGAGAACCAGATATTGTGAGTATTGCAGACAGATATAAAATATTGCATAAATAATTAAAGGTGACTGTGACTGTCCCTTGTTGTTCAAAAGTTGGATGGCGCTATATATCCAGCAGTAAAAATTAATTCCTAGTATCCAGCAGATAAGTACTGCTATTAGCCCGTTAAGCCCCAATATCCAAATACAAATTCTCCAAACTGATCTTCATACATTTCCTTAAAGAAATAGTTGAGAGAATTTTTTTGCTGATCAAGGCTTTTGCCATCAGGTGATTATTTCATAAATATTTCTCACAACATTTTCCTTGATTTGTTGAGAGAAAATTGACTTTGGTCACTCTTGGGACTAAAGGGTTAACAAAAACAATGGCATTATCCAGTGGATAGAGATTTATTTAGTGGATAGCATTATCCTCCTGTCAAGCGACTGGGCCCTTGTTCATTTCTACAGCCGGCTTTAGGCCATTTGCATGATGATGACATGTCATAATTTTTACTACCTGAGAATCATTCTGGGTTTTGCCTTTTTCTGCTGATAAGAGTTTCCAGTGTTTAAATCCTGCTGGGATTATCAGATTTTAATGTGAAAGAAGAAACAAAATCGATTGTGGTAGTTGCATGGCAGAAATCCTGCAATGCTGCACTGTGAGGTTAATCCTATGAATGTAGGAAGGACATCTTTCATGTGCAAATCTTGGAAATCTTACAGGAATTTTGGAACAAATTGAACAAATATTGAGCATGCAGAGTGGTGTGTATTGCAATTACCTCTTGCTTAATTTTCACTGTTGCAACTGTTGTGGGAAGGAATAATGATAGAGTATGATTGAAATGTGTAACTCAGAGGGTGAAAGTTGTGAAAGTGGAAGAAAGACTTTTTGTTATTAATAATGTGTTCATGCATTTTCTTTAAATGTGGCATTATTTTATATTAAATAATTCTGTTTTTCATTACCTTTAGTGTAAATCTTGCAGAAATCCTCCAGTTGGAGATTATTACGAATACAAAAAAGTTCACCTTTGTCGGAAATGCTATGATCATCATTTAAAAACAGGAGAAAAATATACTAAAAGGTAAGATTCTATGTTATGTAGATGCCTCCTTTATTTAAAGTCGTAAAAATTAAGGTTATAAACTTTCAGTGATAAGTTAACCCTTTCACTGACAGGTTGAATGATGGCGTCTTGTATGATCGGGGGGGGGGGGCTAACTTTGAGTAAAACGAAGTCTTAATTTGCATGATAGTGACCTTTCAAATGACACTGAAATGAAGCCGCAAGGACGGAACACCCATTGCGGCGTAGAGCAAGGAGATAGGGCTGTATTCGCCGGCAGGCTTGGTTTTGGCTAACTTGTTAGGCTCTTAAAAAGAAACTCCAAAGACGTCAGGAATACATAGAGGATATTACATGGCCGCGCGGAGATACGAAATTTCTGTTCGAGTGTTGGAAAAGTGAAATATTTTTCAACACGAATAGAGAAATTTCGTATCACCAAACGGCCATGTAATGTTCTATTTATTATATAAACATAAATGAAATGCCGAACCATTTCACTGAAAATAATATTCTTTAGCTGTGAAAGGGTGCAATTTATTATGTAGTCATAGCAACGGTGATCTTTTCACAGGTGAAAATGACTTTTTTTTACGTGTGAAGATATCACGTTTTCGCGCGAAAGCTCATCTGTTATTTCATTGGTGTTTGTTTAATAAAACAACATTCTCAAGTTATAAAACAAACGTTTTTTGATGGACATCCGTTATCTTGAGTTTATATCGCATTTACCAAGTATACATCAAATGCGTTATACGTTAGGGAATGTTTTCAAAAACCCTAGTTACGAAGGTAAGTTGACCTAAACTGCTCGTTACATTGAAGATAATAGATGTCCGTCAAAACATCAATGTCATTTTGCACATTCAACTTAAAAATAAGTGTAGTAAATTTAAGAATTACATTATATTATAAATACTAAAAAAGCTTTCTTTATTGCTTATATAAATTGCTGCTGCATTACATTTCAACTGCAAATGCAATAAAAATGGAAGCGGCAGCACCGATTTGTTGCTATTAAAAGCAGTCGGTCTTCTTGCGTTTTCTCCAGTAATCATACATTCGTTTTTTTTACAGTTATCTTCAGTCATTCTACAAAGTAAGGGATTGTTCAAATATTCATAATCACGAAGGAACAAACGCTAGACTAATGGTAAGGTTATTGATTAGAAAACTTAGATCTAGACCAACGTCGAACTTTTCATGACACGAACCGAACTCTAATTTGGATCGACCTAAATTAAGTTAAATTAACTTAAGATCGTCTGTTGGGTCAGACGTCGAACTTAGGACTCGTCGAACCCATTAAGTGAATCAGATAAGTAATAAATTTTCACTCGAAATAGGCTAAATATACGTTGTAATACAATTTTGTAACCTATTAGTTTAGTTCTTCGCATGTGAAGATCGACGTTAGTGCCGGAGACGATCTTCAGATGTTCCATCCGTCTGAAGCAGACGGGTAGATGACGTGTTGGACGATCCAAACTCATTCAGACGAACTTAACTGGGCAAGACGTCGAACTTTTCATGAAGAACTCATTAAGTTTGGTTTGTCTCCTGGAAAGTTCGATGTTTGGCCTAGGCGTTAACGCACACAATACATATATATTAGAGTGGTTTTCGTTTGAGTGTCGTAAAACCAAAACCAAAGTAATTACTCTGGCCAATCACATAGAGTGGTTTTCGTTTGAGTGTCGAAAAGTAATTGGTTTTGCACTTTCTACACGATGCGATTGGCTTAAAAGATTCGCGCCACCTTTTCATCCAATCAGAAGTAAAACCAAAGCCAATTGTGACGCGTTCGCATGCATTTTCCCGCGCTTTGTGTCAGCCACATGTAATTACTTCGAGTTTTGATTGGTTCAATGTATTGCTGTGTCCTATGTGATTGGCCAGAGTAATTACTTTGGTTTTGGTTTTACGACACTCAAACGAAAACCACTCTAGGACACAGACAATACATTGAACCAATCAAAACTCGAAGTAATTACATGTGGCTGACGCAAAGCGCGGGAAAATGCATGCGAGCGCGTCACAATTGGCTTTGGTTTTACTTCTGATTGGATGAAAAGGTGGCGCGAATCTTTTAAGCCAATCGCATCGTGTAGAAAGTGCAAAACCAATTACTTTTCGACACTCAAATGAAAACCGCTCTATACTTACAGTGATTTTAGTTGCAGACTAAAATAAGAGAACAATTTTGCTGGGCGAGTTCGAAATCGTTCCCTTTCGTGGTTTTCCCATATCTGAGAAGTTACTGTACTTCAACAGATTACATTAATTTGGGTTGTGCGACTTTAAGATTTACCTTCTAGCTCATGAAATAGTAACAAAGTGCGCAATTTACAGAAAGCAAATTCTGAGGGACTTTAGTTCTAAGAAATAGTTTAATGTTTTTTGAAGATAAGCGATCTTTTCACTTCACTTCTAGACAGAGTAAAAACACAACTTTAAATAGACCCTATCAGGGTTTTCGACGCCATCTTGACAAGATGTTCCCTGCTAGCAGTCTGGCCTCTTTTCGCTGGCATTCATTTCTCCCGCCCGCCGGCCCGTTGGATGCCAGGGAAAAGAGGACTCGGGTAGCAGGGAAGACTAGATGGCAAGCAGACGTGAAATTACAGCGTTTGTACTAGAAACAGATGTTAAATAGTTTTTTTTTGAAAAGTCCGTTAAAAAAAAAAACAAAAAATAATAAATCGCAGACGTAAGTTTCTCAGAAAAACCAATTCTGACAAAATTTGATAGCCTCTCCTGCGCTAAGATCGGCGTTTCTTTTAACAGTCTTTTATTTTTTATACACTTGTCTCAATGTCAGTTAAAATATTTCTTCCCGCTGACTAAAATTTCCCGGGATAATTGCGGACAAATGTATAGAAGATCTGAACGTAGCAACATCTTTGAATTTTATATTTTTATCTTAACAGCTTAAAACAGAACGGGACCTCAAGAAACAAAGATTTAGAGAAGCATACATGAGCTTGTACTTCTAGAATAATTATACAAGAAGGAAGACGCTTTCTGTCCAGGACTATACTGATTTCAATGAGGCTGGGAAGAAGATAAACGTGTCGAGTAAAACATCGCAGCGTCGTGCAATATGGTTTTATTATAAATATGTAGATAATGAGAGGGAAACACATTTTTGTACAATATAAACTCGAGTATTTCTTTTGTAAATATATGCAATGCTTGAAGTACGGAGTTTCTATTGTTAAGTGCAAAGTCAGTTAATAGGCCCTGTATATCAAATTGTTTAAGTGATATGCGCTTAACACCCATCCCACACTCAAATATCAGTTGAAGCAAGTCTGAAAACGTTAATAAAACCGTCGAATTATTATTTTTAAACTGGATGATTTATTGACAGATGATTGTATTTGCTCATATTAAAGGTTTTTTTGAACATTCGGTTGTTTCTCAAAAAAGAAATAAGCGCCCTGTCCGGTTTTCCCCCTTTCTCGAATAAGCCCCCCCCCCCTTTTGAGGTACCAAAAGTCAATAAGGCCCCAAGCGCTAAATCGAATCGTTACGGTACTTCAAAGCCCACTTCAGAGGCTGACTTTAGACGGTACAATTTCAGAATTAAAATCCAGTGATACGAATGGATGAGGCCGCTACTCTCACATTGTACAGACCAATTAAAATATGTTCGCCTCGCTCTAAACGCCAGGCGAACCATCTGTTGCAATTTGCCCCACATGAAATTGGTACATATCAAACGATATTCCTATTAAATACCATAGTTAATTGAGTGGAATGGTTATGAAACCCGTCAGACTCCTTTGTTATATGTTTTTGTGGACCTGAAAGTGCACAACGTTGAAAAGAATTCCTATCATTTTGATTGTATTGACCAATAAAAACGTTGCATTAATTTATTCCGTAACAATTTGCCAACAGAAAACAAAGGATGGTGCACTTTCAGGGTGCTTCCAACATAAACTGCAGCACTGTTGTTTTTATCATTGATGTTTGCCGCTTTTCATAACCAGTCTCCTCTAATAAGTATGTAAATACGTAGAAGCTCGGGCTTTGCTCGGAATATGTATCAGGGTAATAAAAAGAGTTTCAGAAGTGTAGAATTCAAGTGAAAGACAAAAATTGAACTCTAAGATCGGTTCCAAATATTGAAAAGTGGGTCAAAATTCATAACAGAAAGGGAGAGTACTCGTACTAATAGAACAGAAGACCTTTACTCCCTAACCGTCTTTAAGGACTCTCGGTTACTTCAGGATTCAATAAGAGCTAGTAAATATTTATTATTCATTTCAATTATTTCTCGAAGTTCTTCGAAACGTTTGCTTGTTCCTCAGCAGTTTTCGTGAACTGTTCCTGCTATTTTCATTTGTTTTAGTCAGAAATTGGGGTAAAGCTCTTTTCCTCATAAGCTCTGCTTCTCAAAGATTTCCCTGCCAAAGTGATATATTCTGTGTGGCAAAACAGTAAAATAGAATTAAAAAATAAAATTCTTTTGTTTCGTCCTCACATAGCCGTGAATTCTTGTATCATTTCATTCCCAGAGCTTCGATCGTTTTGGTCAGCGTCGGGGATCGATCTCCGACGTTGACCAAAACTATCGAGGCTCTGGGAACGAGAATGAGCTCTGGGCTCATGTCAAAAACAGCTAGAACGTTGTCTTGCGTGACGTCATTCGTGGATATTAGGCAATTATTGGATATTGGCTGAGTATGATCTGAAGAATTATGGGGATCGAGGGCCGAGGCGCATAATACCCTTCAAGATTTCTACCTGCAACAAATATCCAACGAATAATATTTTTTTGAGGTGGTGTTACTCGGGACGATACGCGATGACGATTTTTCGTTGTTGCAATATTGTTTCGAACGGTTGCATCATTTTTTTGTCGAAATATTGTATCACTGTGTTGCGCTAAAAATCGACGTTGCGAATCGTTCCATGTAACATCACCTTAAAAAACTGTATCTTAAGCGACATTTTACTGTTATAAAAAAGTACGGTTTACTTATATTTCGTAAAATTCAGTTACCGATCGATTATGATTATTTCATGGAAATACTTCTCAAAGTTTCCAGTGGGGACGTCTGGAAAATGCGAGTGTGGGTGTGTGCTATACTTCCTGAAATTCTTGCTCTATACTTCAGACCGAAATATGTGATTTTCCCCTCCCTGTTTCAGTAATTAATTAAACTGCTGTCGGGAGTTCTCAAGAGATGATCGAATGATGGAAAAAAACATACCCAATTCTGAACAGCATAAAACCTTGCTCTAGCAGCTAAGCTATAATTTTCTCTGGCACTGAAAATAGACTATCTTTTCAAGGAAATTCTTGCGAAAACTCTCTCGGGACACCTAGAGCCCGTTTAGCCAGGAGAAAAAGCGACGCGAAACGTTTCAAAAGCATGTTTGCTCACGCGTTCTTCAGGCCGTCACGTGTAAAAGATAGTTACACCATAAACGTTAGCCAATATGATTTCTTGGCTGGATGACTTTTTAGCATGTGGTCTTTGTCTTTCTTTTTCTACGTCAATGGCGAGTTGAAAAAAGCCTCGGGCATTTTATTTGGCAGCTAAACGCTCACTTTAACTATTAATGGCAAATGAGTAAGTATACGAAAAAAGCCCGCGTTTTAACAGTTTCTCATCCACGTCGTAGTTCTGGTCCGTTGTTGTTATACTTCTTGCAGAAGGTTTCACTTTGGTTAGTGATGGATCAAGGATATTGAAGTCCTCAACATTTGCTTCAGTTCGTTAGGTCTTGAGTACCCTTATAAACGTGGTGCAGCCGGGGTAAAATTGGATAACTATGCGTCACGTATGCAGTTTGTGTGTATAGGAGCTCAACCAGAAGACAAACAGCCAGCAACGCTTGAACACAACTCGGTGATAATTCCGAAGCTTTTATGCAGGTATTTGTTTACAAATGACACAAAATATGTTTCCTGATAACAGACTCATATTGTCCTCTTTAACAGACGGGCAATTTTCTTTCAATATTCTATCTTGCCGGTCTAGATAGTAACACATGAAAACAAACTCATGTGTAACTAAAAGTTTTTTTATCCTGCCCAAAGAGACAGACTAACCATTTGTCCATTGAGCTTCAAATTCTGGCTCTATGCTTAACAGCTGAGAATTCTAGACACTTCTCGTTGCTAACACTCTTGTGCTGCTAAACAGTCTGGAATATCCACTGCAAGCACAAGCTCAAGGGAAACTGACAAGTCCACTGAGTAACTCACCTCATTAAAATAACCTGTTATAGCTTACAAGAGTACGTGCCCAATTAATATTATGCGGCGGAATAAAGCCGCATTTTGTCGCTGATAACCGTGTTTAAGACCCGACAACGTTTACAGAAATTTCCTTATTCATGAAATAGCCAGTTTATCTGAACCATTTCTAGCGTGAAAGGCTGTGAATTGAAAAGCCCTTCGTGATTATTAAAGACAGTTCAGTTTAACGGCATATGTCGCATCTAGTAAAACCTGACTAAATATTTGTTTGATTTGGTTGCAAAAGGGGCTGAAGGTGTTCAGGGACTTGCAGACTGAGACTGGTTCCAGTTTAACGCTTTATTGGTTTTTGATCAGAGTTACTTTAACTATATACTCTGCTCGAACGACTACGTCAGTTAAGCAACGCAGCATCGAAAACATGTCATTTACGATCATTTACAGCGCATTGCATGGCATAGCTAATACATATTTAGTAATATATTATTAAAAGTATCCCTCTGTTCCTCAAGAAAGTCAGTATGCTCAGTAAAAAGCAAGCCGGAAACACGAAGAAAAATACTTCCCTCCCGGACTGTTTTTGTACGAATAAAGATATCTTTGCTTCGTTTGAACGAAGTTTGTTCTGCACCTTGACAAGGGATTGTGCTGATGTATCCCCAAAGTAACTCTTTTTTCGTTTAGTTTTTAAAAATTCTCTTTTTTTGGTCAAGTCAGCAATGACCATTTAGTTACCACTTATTAGAATACCTGACGTAGAGAGCTGAACTAAAATGACCACGAGTGTGGTAATCAGTCTCTGACAATACGAAATAGATCAGAGTTGAAGCAATAAATCGATGGCACACCAACTGTCAAACAATGGCAACAATACAAAACTTTAATTTTTCACATCTTATACTTTATTCTCCGTATTCTCCGAACATTTGGTGTGTTTTAAATTTCTTTACCCAAACACGTTCTCAGATGATTGCAACCTAGCAACGTAGCAAACAGAAATAATATTAAAGAAGTTTTCAACATAATTATATGTTATTTTGTCACAGAACCATGCATGAACGCTATAATCTAAATTTAAATTTGTGTTTATTTTTAGTTGCTTTGTTTTTATGCTCTGTATTATAAAATATGATATTTATTTATAATACTGTATTTTTATTCCGCCAACGGCTTCTTAAAAATAACTCTGATGAAACTACTGAAATTCTCCCGAGGAGAAGTTTCTGTGCGCTGAGCAGCGAAGCGCGTTCCCCCCGTTACCAATAAGCACGCAGATTCTGGTAGAAAGAAAGACTTATCACGATCGTTAACTTGTTAAATTATATGGACACCAAGAGACACAAGAAATGACGCGTTATTAAGGCTAGATTAGATTGCCAAAATATTGTCTTCTTGGGACATTAAAGAGAAATAATCTTCACCACTTAATTGACCACCAACAAATTTCTTGAAATCAACATAGAGCTTGATGACATCCGGATGAGTTCCAAAAGCTCCGAGTAACTTTCAAGAAATTTGTTGCTTGAAGAATATTTCTTTGTAATGTTGAGAAATTTCAGTGATATATAGTGGTTATTACATTAGTTTTACTAAGGCTACAAGTCAAGGTGGTCTATCCCGGCAAAAGTTAACATAATGCGTTAATCAGAAGTTCTCTTTTTTTAAGAACTCACCAAAATAGCTGCGTTCTTGCGAAATCAGGCATTCTCTCAAAAAAACTTGAACAGAGTCCCATATTTTTAATTCGAGCATGAAGACAGAGATACTATATGCATG